CAACATAACTGAAACAACCCGCACCAAACACAAAAACGTACTACAAACCCACTCTGCCACACAAACTATAGAGACCAGAACAATTATGATGCCGCCAAAGAGGAAAGATACTGCAGAAGACAGGTGTGACGCCGCCATCGAAGCGTTGGGGCGACAAGTCGCGGATCTAACATCGGGTTTCAGTCATCAAATTGCGGATCTGACCATGAAGATTGAGGACTTCCGGTTGGCTCTACATGCTGCTTTCCATGGCAAGTAAACGAAATGTGCGTTGGACAGAAGACATGGCGACCACGGGGAAATGAGCAGTGGAGGGACTCAAGGCACACGCGGGGCGGCCTGCTCCCGATCGCTTTAATCGTTTATCGGTGACTTTGACATCACCATATCCGAGGTACGTCCTTTTAGTAATATGGCGGCACAGGACGAGGACTACTTCACCGGCAATCAGTAATGGGAGGCTTCTTTCTGAGTCGAGATCTCAAAATTCTCTGGCGGCTTGAAAGCCGCCGAGTTCTTGGAGACAAGGGGTCGACCGAATATATGAGTCTGCCTATTTTTTATGTTGATGGGTTCGACCGATTATGAGGGTCCACCTGTTTTTGACAAGGAGACACATGTGGAATTGATGGAGGACAAGTACCATGTGGTTGTATAATCATCTATGGGGTCAAAGGTATCAAAGGATCTTGTTTTAGCTGAAAAGTCTGTGATTAATGGATTGATCTTCTGGCTATGGCCTGTGAAAGGTCTTAGTCTTCTGTCTATGGCTAATAGTGGTCAAAACACAAATGGATCTCAGTTCTTTAAGCAACAACCTCATCTTCATGGAAAATATTTTATGCTTGGAAAAGCTAACTTTTTTGCTAAGGAGTATACTAAGTTATTGGCCCACAAAATTGGTCTGGTCGGGATTGTGGAGCTGATAAAGATGAGACTGCGTCGGATTTGAGGGTGAATCCTTTTCGAGAGGGGGAGAATGATGGAGATGAGGGCAAGCATGATCTTTGGTATCTTATTTTGATTAATTATTCTTTTTATTTATTGTTACTATTTCAGTCCTCGATTTGTTAGTAAAATTATTTAGTTGTTCTAGTATTTTATTTGGTAGAAAAAAAATAATTATCCTTTACTTGTTAGACAATATTAAGGCCTTGTGAGATTCTACAAGAATAATTATTTTTAGTGGCGAAAATTTTTGTTGCTATATGTTCAAATGTCGTCACAAAAAATACCGTCGCTAATAATGTCGCTATATGTTCGAATGTCGTCACAATAACCATTTTATAGTCATGACATTTATGTCGTCACTAAAATTAGTTCGCTAATAATGATTATTCTCGTATTTTATTGACTTCTTCTTCATTATGAAGAATTTGTTACGTTTATTAATTAGAAAAATTGTCTTGAAATTTTATCTCTTGTTTTCCCTTTGGTACGCTTTCGCCACGTCAATTAATAAATAAATAAAGTAACTTATTAATTAATTTGACATATGGTACAGGTGGCTATATCATTTGCAAAGGTAATAGTGAGCTCCATAAAACCGAGTATAGAAATAGTAGGAAGAATTCCAGGGACTGACTTATTCTGCAACACATTGCAATATCCTGTGGCTATTAAAATCCCTGGCTTCTTAATTGCTCGCATCAACTCTGGGACTCTTTGCTTTGCCAATGCCAGTTTCATCCGAGAAAGGTACAAATTCTCAAATCCTATTTTTTGGGATATATAAAAATTGTGGGCAAATTTCATAATCTACCCTTGATGTCTTGCCAAATTAAAAAAATAAAAAAATAAAAAAAAATGGAAAAATAATTCATAGGGGTGACAAATGTCATATCGTATCGTGTTTATGTTTCACTATCATTTTTTCGTGTCTATATAATTTGATCACAAGTATAATAATCTAGCACTATTATTTATTCAATACACTTTTCCGATTGTATACTTTAGGTCGTTATCATCGTGTCATTCGTCTCTATAATTGTTGTAACATTTACATATTTCATGTTGTATAAGTCATTGTTACCCCTAATTTCAAAGTTTATCCAACATAAATTTGCACTTATTCTTGTGCTATAAATTGTAGTTATTAAAAGTTGTGTTTCTAGTTGCACCCTTATATGGTTGTCATCTGTTAAAACCATTTCAAATCATGCTTTTATGCTCAAATATTGGTTTATTTTACTTATTAATAAGTTTTATAACTTTTCTTATATAATTTATGGATAGGATCATGAGGTCGGTGAAAGAGGAATGTAACTTGGAAGAAATTACTAAAGGGAGACTTTATGTCTTGGTCCTCGACATGAGTAGTAAGCTTGTTATGTTACTAAATGTTCATCCCAACTTGGTAGTGTTTAGATGTATAGAAAAGTTAAATAAGATAATCAAATCGGAGAAATTTTTAAAAAACACTTCCATGCTTGAGATTTTTAAGAATATACAAAAAAATGTCAACATACTTGGACATTTTAATTTCTCACATTATTTTCTTTTTAACAAACTATACTATGTGTTTGCCTAATAATTAGGCAGATTAATCCGTCCTATTTTTGGAAAAAAACAGAGATTGTTCAAGACTAATGATCATTTAGTAGTCCATTGATTGCATATTTATTTCTCAGATGTGACGAACATCGACAGTTCTGGAATTCATGCACTCGAAGAACTACGTCACAATCTCACCGCGCAAGACATAGAAGTGAGCTTAATTAATAACGATCCATAGTATAATGTTCTAAACTAAATGAATAATTTCATTTAGTTATATCTTTTAATTAATTAATATGTGTTCATTTTTGCAGTTAGTCGTGGTGAATCCAAGGTGGCAAGTGATAACTAAAATGAAGGCAGCAAAATTGATAGACAAAATTGGAGGTAACAGAATTTTCCTGTCCATAGGAGACGCTGTGGATGCTTTAATTGATCCCAAAATTAATGGCCTAGATGGTTGTTAATTTAATTATAATTTTCTAAAAATTATTTGACCTCTCTATACATAATGTATAATTAATGGATTGAATAATCATTTTCCTATGCTGCATTTAGGATCTAAAAGTTCTTGTTTTATGAATGAAATATATATGTATGTGTGTTAAATGCAGGATAGGTAAAAACAAAACCTTCATGATTGTATTGTATTATTTCAAGAACTTTAATGTGTGNTCAGTACAAGTACATATTAAATAAACATAATAAGCATATCAGAGTATTCAAGAAAATAACTTACGATAACATTGAGAGATCACAACATTTCTCCTCTATTTTCATGTATTGAAATCGTTGCATGATAGCCTCATTATTAACGTTACGAAATTCACGTCACTAAACAATCATTCAAAAGCTCAACGCGTGCCAATTCGGTTGCGTAGTGTACTTTTGATGATTTCATTGCCCAAAAAAGCTCTTTCCACTGTAGCAGTGGCAATCGGTAAAATCAACAACTTAATCAACAAGTAAACCAATGGAAAAACATCATTTTTTCTTCTAGACACCATCTTTTGAGCAAGATCTCCAATATTGGCTACGTTCGAGAATTTTTCATCTAAGCGCATATCAAAAATGAAATTCTCGAGCTGATTTACATGTTTATGTAAGGCAATTGTTGAAAACTCTGATGGATAAAATTCTGGAAGACGGAGCAATTTCTCTTTATCAAACGCAGAAAATGAGTCTTTCAAGCAAAGAATACCATTGACAAGAGTAGCTATGTGTTTACTTTATCAAACCGATTGTTAAGCTCTTGAGCTAGCATATCAATCACGGAATACAACAACTCAACTCGATAATGGTGAAGATTAGTCAATTTTTCAACGTTGTGCCTTGGTCTTCCTCGAGTCGTATACACACCTTCCATATCCAATATAACTATGTCATGTTTGCCATAACTTAGAAACTTCATCAATTAAATCATCCCAACCACAATCTCTGATGGCTGGCTTACGAATTTTAGCAACTTTAACAAGTTTCATCTCATTAACACTATCTTCATCCTTTGTTTGAAGAACTTGAGATAACTCATGTGTGACTCTCAAAATTTTCATCATAAACTGTAAAGTAAAGATGAAGTCGAACATATTCATAATCTCTAATAAATCAATGGCTTTGGATTTTGTGAATCATCATTCTCTCTTTCCAAAATATACTCAAGAACATCAATAATCAATGAAAATAAAATGCACTAAGTTTATCAGAGTAACATAATGCGAACTCTAACAAGAGTCTCCCAAAGCTGGGGTGCAGGCTGAATTTATGAATGCGTTTCTGCCAGCACACTACACATATTTTTCATTTATATGTTGTTACAGTTAAATATATATCCGTTTTCAGAACATATTAAACAACTTTTAAATATTAAAAATGTTTGGTTAATTGTAGCTCCCTATTCGTTCTAGACGAGTTAGCGTATTTTAGGTTTTCGCTTTGTATTTTATGTACTTTTCGCTGGCGAGGCTGGATAGGTGACCCGCAACTGGGAACCAGTGGGCGCGAAAACTGTTTCGCTGGCGAGTGTCGATTGGCAGGGCGCGAAAGCAGTTTGGGCTCGCAAACCAGATGGAGCTGAATTTTTAGCCTTGGCACATTCGCCAGCGAAATGCTTTTCCTGTTTTGCGAGCTCGCCTTCGCTGGCTGCGAAATGAAACCCACGGCTCGAGTGTTGTTTAGCTGGGCGCTTGTGCTATTTCGCGCGCGAATGACTTCATCCTTAGCAAAAATCCCATACTTGGCCAAATTTTGAACTTTTTCAATCCAACTTCCAACTCAACTTTCGAGCACTATCTTTCGCTCGATTCTCGACCCATTTTCACTCAAAATTCTCAATAGAATCTCGGCCCCGAGTCCCATTTCCACCTTAAAAAATATATAGTGTCGTGTGGTTTGCGGGGCTATTTATTCTCAATGAAAAACGAAAAGAAGAGAAAACGGAAAAGCCGTGGGTTGCCTCCACGAAACACTCATTTTAACATCTTGAGCTCGACGTTCTTTACCAAAATTAACCGGGATCCAAGAAGAAATGTCGTTCGTGCCACGCCTTTGTATTCTCCAAAAGTAGACGGCTCGGGAGAATGGAACAAAGACGGGCCCAATAGAATCTCGTGGCCGTGTTCTTGTGAAACTGAGCACGGATATTGACAACCACCAAGAGAAGAGATAATTCCTTACGAATCAAGGCCCATATTCGACCTCCGAAAATATGAAAATGTCCGTGGAGCACATCGAATCGATCTCGGTCGTCATATATGTATCATCTCGGAAGCGTAATCATCGATCTCAAGCATCGGGAGAATGGGTGTGAACACGCTACACTCTTCCACATAGTCATGATCCCCAATAATACGAAATGATGACCCAAAGGTCATCGGAACCACTTCATACCCAACATCCCGAGTCGTCTCCTCAATCAATACAAACTTTGGGTCCACGACATCACATAACGATCGGAATCCTCCTCAACAACATTCGCCACCTCATGAATCACCGTATCCTCCTCCTCGAAATCATCCTCCCGAGCACAATCACCTCAGTTAGACACAATCAAATCTCCAAATAAACTACCTCCCATACCAATCACCATATCAACTCCCGAATCCATATACGCACTCTCAACAATAAAATTAAAGCTCAAAGCACTATAGAGAGTTGACGTACCTAACGTTGAATGCACGGCCGAATCGTCAATAGAGGATATTTCTTTAACAACCAAATCATCGATGTCCTCACTCGTGTTGAGAGGTTGCGTACTGTCATAAGCAAGAGTGAGGCCCATCTCTTTCAAGGAGGCAAACTTATCCACCATAGCTCGAAATTCTCCTTCTAACCGAGTACTCTCTCGAATAATCCTCGCCGATAGAGAACAATATCTACCAAATGGGGTATGAGAGGCATTCTAATCAAGGAAAGAGACCACGGTAGAGTCGACTTCGTGAGTGTGATTTGAAGAACGAATGGAATAGGAATGCTCTTCCAACTATGAAACTCCTCAATGATTGACATGAGGCTCGCAAGTGCATCTTGAGTGCTCGTAAAAACCTCTTGGTGAGGTTCGGTAGGCTCAAGCATTGTTGGAATTGAAGCTTCGGTCCACGATGTACAAGGTTGACCAACCGATAGGTGCTCGTATGATGGAGAGGGTAGAGCATAGGACTCGGTTTTCTTTTTTTCGGAGATGGGAGCCATTGAAGCGCGGAAGGATTGATTGCACTTCCCCAATTTCTCCATAATCTCATCCAAACGGCTTGGAGAAGTTTCCCGAGTTGGCTCGGGTGGAGGTGCCTCTTCATAATAATAGAGAGGCGGGGAATAGTTGTGAGGCGTCTCGTCGTAACTCGAAGTATAATACCCATAATCGCCTTGAGATGTCGGGTAAGAATAGTTCGGGCCATACCCTTGGGATGTAGTGTATCTGTTATGTGAATAAGAAGATGAATAGCTCGAATACGGATGGGGCGGCCCTCCATATGACTGCATCTCCTCATGGTAGTTGTCGGGGTACCCACGAGACGAGCTACCGGCGTAAGAATAGCCGTATGGATCCATCGGAGCTCCTCAAGCGAAATACCTCGCACAAGAACAACAAACAACCAAGGCACACGAGACCAAAAAAAGAAAAATACAAAAAAAAAAGACACAACTACACGCTTACCAAAAATCAAAAGAAATAGAAAATAAGCAAATAATCAAGAGAAACACGCAAAATTAAGCAAAATCCACAAAAAGAAAGAGAAACACGGAAACAAACGACAACTAGATAGCAAACTGACGTCCTACTTGCCTTCACCGGCAACGGCGCCATTTTGTTTGTAGTATTTTTGGGCATGTGGTAACCGAGTTACCCGACTCGGGTCGTTCTCAAAGGAAGGCTATTCGGAGCTTCGTTCACTATCTAGTCGTCAAAGTCACACAACCGAAAATGGGGTCCTAAACATTCTACTCGCTTTTTGGGGTTTGATTGCACGAAATTAAACTATGATCTACGAGCAAATAATGAAAATGCATGAATCGAAAGAAAGATCAAAAATTGGTTACACGGAGTCTCTACAACTTGACTAAAATAAAAATAACGAAAAGAAAACATGCGAGCCTAGTGATCCTAAGTATCCTAACACGAGCCTTCTACACTAGATCATCCCGCTTCGAGCCTTCTATACTAGAGAAGCACGTATCGAATCCTAACACACTTGGACAAGCAATGAAAATAAGGCAAAGTGTAAAAAACAAACGATCCTAAACACATCATTCCAATCAATTCACAAATCGAAATAATAAGCCCTAAGCTAGGTACCTATTTTTCTATAGCAAAATTGAATGAAAATAATGCATAGAGAACGAATTTTAGATAAAAAGAGAGTCGCCGGAAAAGTTACCGAAAAACTCCCCAGAAAACTCACCGGAGAATGTCAAGCTTGGACCTCCTCCAAAGAACAAAAATATGAAAGAGAGAAGAGGGAGGATTTTTCCCAACTCAAGGGTTGGGAAATGAGGGGGTTGTCTTAAAAACACACACACTACACCTATTTATACATACCACACAAACACACACTAAAAATACACACATTTAATGAAAATCTGAAGTTCGCAGGTCTCGAAACGGGGTTGGCAGCAAGTTTGGGCTTGGAGTAGTACAGAAACAGGAATTCGCGGGTCACCAACGAGAGTTCGCTGCGAGTGTCAAGGGAGAAGTGCTGAAGGCGTGCGGTTCGCGGGTCGCCAACGTAAACTCGCTGCAAGAGCTACCCTGGGCTCTTGCGCTTCGCAGGCCGCCAAATCCTTTCCGCAGCGAGTCGGGGCAAGGTCCGTTGAGAGTAGCGTTTCGCGGGGCGCGAGTTCCTTTTCGCAGCGAGTGTCGGGCTGCCTTCGGGCTCGACTCGCGTCTCGAAAATGGCTCAGAATGGCTCCGAATGGCTCGGAAGTATCTCAGACAGTAGCTCGTCTTCCCTATCGTGCAAAGAGGACCTAATCACACTAAAGTACGCAAGAAATTAAATACGGCAAAATACAAAAGCACATAGCAAAAACGAAAACACATAAAACACGACAAAAA